ATCATAAGAGAAGGCCATTCAACTATCACTGCTGTACTGGTTTGCTGGAAGAGCAATAGGAGACTGAATATATATAAATAAGCTCCACATACAGCTAAGCCTAGCTGAAATTCACACCATTGTGTTCCCATTACTATCTAATGGTAATGGTCTTTGCAACTAGTGGCTTTGTGTACTGGGCAAAGGAGGAAGTATGGTATCCCAGTCAAAAGCTCTTTTCAGCTGCTAAAGTACACCTTGACTAAATTGTGGTTATAATGGATGGGAGCTCAAGTGGAGGAGAATGATTCATTTGATGAATCATTTAGAAGGTTTATCATTTTTAGTGAGACCATTAAGTATGCTGTATTACAAACCATAAAAAATACTTTCCAGACAACAAGAAGACTGGTTCCTGAAAGGTATGGTTACAATGCAGTGTATCAAGGAGGAGCCAGACATGATCTATAAGACCATCCCAGACTACAGTTTTGTAAACCAGCTACTGATCCTACCAATAATTTAGTCTGAATCCTTTAGATTGAGCTCGATGTGGATTCCTTCATGTGAGAAATTGTCAAACACTTTTTGAAAACCCAAATAACATTACTGATTTATTTGATGTTCTCAATAAGGTCAAGGGAATTTGTCAAGCAGGATTTTCCTCTTGAATATCCAGTCTGGCAGTTTCTTTTCAAGTTGTTCATTTTCAGGATTTCTTGAAGATTATCCCACAAGTAGTTTTTGTTATTTCATCTTATGTTGCTATTAGGTGACTGTGAATGTATTTTGTCAGTTTTGTTGCTTTTTCTTTAAATCAAGTATCACATTATTTGCCTTTAATGCTGTGGGATCTCACTAGTGCCCAGTGACTTCTGCATGACAAGAACCAGTACTTTACATATTTTTTTCTTAGGCTCTTCTAGAACTTAATGATATCTACAATTTACTTCACTGATCATTGTTAGCCTTCAATCCCTTTAACTTGTCAGGTATGTGTGACCCTCTCTGAAAATCCCCTGACTGATAAAAATTCATATTAATGCAACTTTCCAAACTGGATTTTCCAAAGCTTTAAGTTTGAAAAAACAAAGCAATCATATTGTAGCTTCATGTTTGTTGTTCTGTCCTTCGTCACAAGATAAACATACTAAAAGCAGAACTGTGAAGGCAGTTGTTACTATGTCTAACGAATTTCACAACTCAAGAAACTTATGATTTCACAATTCATGCCACAAAATGTGTCATGGCTTAAACATGTCTGAAACATGTTTAAATCAAATTTAAAGTGTTGTACACCTAAGTTTTTAATCGTAGTGGGGACTCTAGATTCTGAATAACATCATTTGTTAGGACTCACTGAGTTCATTTACAGCAATTCAGTATCTCTTTGGTCTCAATTCTGAGCACTTGCATATTTCAAGCTGTTTTGAACACTCTAAGGGAGATTAACTTAAAGTTTAAGAAAAAAAAGTCTAAATTTTCAAATAAAGCTAACAGGAAAGCCGTCCAGCACACAGGAAGAAGTAATTGCAGCAGTGGATTTTCATCTGCCACCTTGACAAGGCAGAAAGGTGCAGAACTGCCATGCCACTGGATAGAAACTGATGCTTGGAGGCTCATTGTAGCCAGTATACTGCAGGCACAGAATGGTTGTCTGTCTGCACTTCCTTAAGCTGTAGGGTGACCAGATCCTGAAATGTGCCATCCACAAACCTTTCAACCTCTAGGATAACCCACATAGGACAGGATGCACAAATCATTGGTGTGTGCTCCCCAGACATAGTTTAATTAAATAGAATATGGACCCTTGCTGTTTATTTTAGCCTTACTTCTTTTTAAGAACAGACAAGAAAAATTTCATTCTTTTCATGTCTGACAACCAGAGCTATAATCCTATAGTATCCTAAAATATTTATTAATGGTTCCTTATTTCTTACGTGCAGCAGCATCAACAGTGATTGCATGGTGGATCCTCAGCCTGCTGATGTGGGAATACCAGCAACAGTGGGATAAGGTCCTTGTCTGTACATTAAATCTTCACTTAGCTCTGGGATGGGAAAACTATCCATGAGGCATTCCTGCCCTTGACTTAATTGGTGCACAGACAGGGAAGTGCTGGATTCTTGAACCGCCTCTCTCCTGTCTCAATAAATGCCCCTGCTGCTGAGTTTGCCTTCTGAGGGCACCAAACTGCAACCACAGAGCAGGCATCAAAGCGATAGATGGGATGTAATGTGGGGAAGTGTGAGTTTATATACTTTGATTATTAGAACAAAAAAGCAGATTTTTAAAAATATATTGAAACTGTTAAATGTTGATGTTTGTTGAAAGTTGATTACACTCAACCAGGAAAGACAGCAAGCAGGGACAGCAACCAATTCGAAAGGCAAAAAGCATATTCCCCTTTACTGTAAGTGAGCTGGATTGAAGTTCACACATGCACTAATGTGAGCAGACAGAGTTGTAAACAACTTTGCTGGGATCACATCCAGTGTCCTATATGGTGTTTTGGACTGTGTATTATTCTGGTTAGGTAAGAAGGGATAGATTGCCTCTCTTCTTTCCACTCCAAAAGGCCAGTTCAGTGAATCTTTAAATATTTAAGTGCTGTTATTGTCAAAGACAGACAGACAGGATCCCTTTTAAGACTTTAGTAGAAAAGAAAATAGTACTTATGGCACTTAATACGCAACGTTAACAAAAATAATGAAACTTCTCTGGCACACACATGCACATTTAAGAGCTCACACGTGTTAGGCAGGAGGAGAGACTGATCAGTTTAAAAGTCCAAAAAAGTTATTTAACTACAGATTTGATAGATACATACACTGGATAGTTTCAAACTGGGCTCAAGTGTCTTCCTGAATTCTTCAGGATGGTCTGGAGGGATCATTTCAATTTGGTTTCCTGTGGAATCAGCAGCTGCTGGGTTGGTTTTCCTGTGGTTTCCTACCAGACTCACAGACATGTATTGATGCGATGAAGAACTATGACAGGAAATATCAGTGTGCAGAAAGGGCTTGCAGCATAAGAGCCTTGGGCAGGATTGGAATGGCGCTGAAGAGGTAGAGTTGAGAGGCAGAGGAGCCTGGGATCTGAGACCCCACAGTCCAAAGATGTCCGAACTAGGTGGATTGGCCATGCTAAATTGCCCATAGTGTTCAGGGATGTGTAGATTTGGTGGGTTATAGGGGGATAGGTCTGGGTGGGGTGCTCTGTGGGTCAGTGTGGACTTGTTGGGCCAAAGGGGTTGTTTCGACACTGTAGGGCTTCTATGATTAATTGATTGAATAGTTCCCTGATACAGTGCAGGCATTTGGGATATTTCCCAGTGGTGGGTCCAGGTGAGAGCTGAATGAAGCCAATTACAATTTTCAAGGACTCAATCAGGATTGGTGGCAACAGAACAGAACTTGCTGCACAGCAGAGCGGCATGGGGAGACTTATAACTTTGTGGAGGCTGCCTCACTGCAGCTGTACATTGGAGTTGGAGGCTCCATCCCTCAGTTAAGGGACCACCTGAAGGTTTGGCCCTCTATGACTTTTATTTTCCTACTTACCTCTGCTCACGCTTGTTCCTTGATGCCTCCTCTCCCATCCGGAGGAGCTGTCCGTGGTCCAGAGCCGCTGGGCCTCTGATTGGACCAGCAAGGTCAAGAATCTGCTCATCCCCTCCACAAATGGACAATGTCATGAGACAACCGATGGGGAATCTGCCTCTGGGGAAATTGCTCAACCAGCCCCACTGCCAATAAATGCAGATTTGGGTACCCCATTATGTTCCAACACTGGGGTCCTGAAGCCCATGGTGAAATCCTACCTCAAAATATGAGATGAGTGTTTATTGACTAAACAGAAAGCATTAAGTTTATTTCCAGTCTGAATTAAGGACAGACCAGAAGTTTGATACTCAACTTTCAGATACATCCTCTGGATCTAGTCTGATTTTTATGCTGTGAGACAATACATACATATGGAATATACATATGAAACAGTAATTACCATAACATTGCATGAATGTTTTAAAATGGGACAATATTTATTATTGTAGCATAACACAAATATTGTGTGGAATATTAAGAAATACCTTTGATAGGTAAACTCTTCCTTGGGCGCTATATCACCATATGTACAAAAGTAATCCACTTGTTGCAGTGGATGTCATTATAGTCAAGGTAATTGTGCAACACAACGTACAGTTAAGTTCTAGTAAAAGCACGTTATCTTAAAATAAAAGCATGCATAAAAAGACTGAAATAAAACACAAATCTTAATTCACAAAATATTTGTCAAAGCAAGGCTTTATATTTTGAGACCATCCTCCTGTTAGAAAACCTTCTAATTTTCTTAATCTCCACTGACTCTTCCCAATACATAATTTGCCCATTTCAAAGAAAGGGAGATTTGCATTTATGTAGTGTTTCTCATATATTCAGAATGTCCCAAAGCACTTTACATCTGATAACTGTTACGAAATGTAGCCACTGTTGAATGTAGGAAATGAAGCAACCACTTTTTGCATAGCAAGCTCACAAAATAGTTATAGGGATAAATGATCAGATAATGCATTTTAACAATTTTAGTTGAGATATAAATATTGACCATGAGCGCTCTTCTACTCTATCTCTTCAAAAATGTGCTAGAGCATCTGTTATATCAACCTGAAAAGAAAATAGTGCCACGAAATCTTAGAAACGATATCTCTGATAATGCAGTCTACCCTCTGTACAGCACCGAGGTATCAGCCTAGATTACATACTGAAATTTCAGGTGTGGGATTTTGGACTTACCACCTTCTGAAGCAGAACTGAGAGTGGTACCACTGAACCACCATCTCACATTCAAAGATAAATTGCCCAAATTATCCCTTTGGTGTCATTAGATGCTAGGAGTATGTGTTGAAAGTGCTGCATTGGAGTATTCATAAATCATTGGTGAAATAAAAGAACTCATTACTTTATTAATTCACTTTATTCATTCAATTATTCTTTCATTTAAAGGAAATCTTCCAACATGACAGAAAATCAGCACTTGGATGCTTTGCTTTTCTCATTAATATTAGCAAGGTTAATTAGCAAATAACATTATTTATCATTCTGGCCAAACCGCTAACGGTTACAGAAGCAAGCACAACTGCTCAAACAATGATTTCAATATCAAAGCATTAAAATTCCCTATAGGTGTTCACAGTTTCTTTAATATAGGGCAACAGTTAATTGAATGTAACCTAGTTATGTGGTGGTACATAGTTATTACTCTTCAATATCCCAGAATATAAGCAGTTTCACTCTATACTACAATGTCATTTCAGCACTGCAATAAGTGACTAAAATGAGGAATCAGGAATTTTAAAGTCAATGCAGAAAACATTTTTAAGGAATGAACAATCACAATGTTTCCTCTTTTTTGACTTAGATTTCGACAACTCAACAACAAAACTCCCCCTCGTGTAAATTGCAAATAATTTCTGTTGTAAGAAATGAATGTGATAGATCATGCTGAAAGCTCAAGTCACTTTGAAAGTGATTCACATTAATCAGGCTGTTTACGTTGTTTAGCATCAGACTGCAATCGAGTCCTGACTGAATTTGTCTGCTTTCTGTTCAGATTTCCCCAGTTTCCTATTAATGAACAGAATTTATCTCAGTGAGACAGGTGGCAGGACATAGCTGTGAGAGTTGCACCCAGTCACTAAGAAACCCCAGTTATCTGGTAATTGTAGCTGCCATTGAAAAGCTATGGATCTGATTGTTCCTATCCTCTCGAGTGAAGGAAAGGCATGCTCGCAATCAATAACAAGAGGGTAAAGTTCTGTGTTGTTATCGGTAATGATGGCACTTCCGAAGAGAAATCATTTTTATTTAGATATTCTTAATTATCAGCTGAATTTTGGCAGCATCAGTGATTGAGATCTCTAATTCCAAACAGGTGATGATCAGGCTCCCTTGCTATGGATAAGATTTGGCTGCTGATTGGCAAGCTGGACAAAGAGAAATTTGTCCCCTGAAGACAAGGCATAACATTTTGCCGCATCGATGAAATATCACACTTTTGCGCCAAATAGTCATCGGAAAATTTCCGACTTTGCCAGCAAGAAGTGGATGAATGATAATCTGAAGCAGTTTAACAAGCTGTCAAAGTTTGAAGGAAAAGATTCAAAATTATGCTGCAATCTTCCCACTAACCATAACCATCTAACTTTATTGATGGTAATTTCCGGCAAATAAAGTAAGGGGAAAGAACTTTTGAGAACGATTTGAAGCAATGCCATGTCACACCGGTGCCTGGGACCTTAGAATAAGTATTCCACATTGACCATTTCTCTGCCTCAGCTGTCATATTGTATGGAGGTTTCAACAAAAGGGGGTTGGTGAGTAGATGGGAGGGCTATCTCATGGCCCTTTCCTTTCGTCCTGCACAGAAGGAAGTCCAGAAGCTTCCTCTTGACAAAACTTGTTACGTGGTAGAGAGCAGTGGTGTTAATGGGAAAGACCCAAGTAGACGTGAAGTTGTGGGATTGGCAGTTATTGAACAGGAAGCTTTATCTAAATTTGTTTTGCTGAAATAAAAGATACTTTTAGGTATCCTGTAAACAATCCATCTCTTCCATGGTGATACTTGTGTCTTTTCTGGTGTTATTCATGCATTCTTTTCTTGATTCTTCTTTACCAGAATGGGTCAGCTGGTCAAATAACTTAGTCAGGGCTGATATTTGAAAACCATTACGAATTTTCTGGGCAGCAAATGCATACAATACAGGATTGATGCAGCTGTTGATGAAAGCTAGAGCTCCAGCAATGAAGGTGCCACCAGAATAAATATCATTTAATGTTCTTGATATGGCTTCATTTGATGTACTAGTCATCAGTGCTGTGATTGAAATCAGATTTAAGACATTGTGAGGCATCCAGCAGATGAAAAACACAATCACTACAGTGCCAATCACCACCCCAGTTCTGTTTTTGGTATTAAACGTCATGCGTTTCACCTTCCTCCCAATGCAAAAGTAAGAAATGGACAGCACCATGAAGGGAATGACAAAGGAAACCAAAGTTTGAAACACCGTGCAAAAGATTTCCTCCTTATCGGTTTCAAACTGCATGTACAGACAGTATTGCTGTCCAGTGTCATCAGCATCCACCACCTGGTAAAGAAGGACAGGAATTGAAAAGAGCAAAGCCAAAACCCAGACAATGAACACCACCTTCACAACAACCTTGTTCTGGCGCCATCGCTGGCTGGCAAATGGGTAGATGACAGCCATGAAGCGTTCGATACTCATCACAGTGATCAGAAAAATGCTTACGTACATGTTGCAGCAGACGATGTAGCTCAGGAACTTGCAAAATGGTTGTCCAAAGGCCCAGCCGTTCACAAAGGCATAGATCCACAGAGGCAAAGTGATCAGAACAAGCTCGTCAGCTATCGCCAAATTCAGGATGAGTATGACAGTGGGGGATCTTTGTTTCTTCATGGCAAAAAGTACAATCCAGATAACCAGTGCATTCCCTGGGACTCCCACGAGGCAAGCCAGGCTCAGGATGATGGTCGCCGCTGTATTTTGAGTGACGGGCAATTGTTCTGTCATGTTGTTACTTAGCTCCATGGTAGCTGTCTGCTGTTAATCTCAAATTTGAGTGAACAGCTACTTTCACAGTTTCCTACAGGAGCTACTTCCTTATTGTAAGTGAATCATGCAAAGCACGTCAAATAGGCTTGTGATATTTTCATTGTCTAGCTGCCAGAATTGTTTTAGTCAGTCAAAAGTCAAAAGAGCTCCAGAAATTCTTTTGAAAGAAATGTTATAAATCTTCTTCAAAACATCTTTGAAAACTATAAATATAATAAATTAAGTACAGTTTCTTCTATAGAATGCAAAGTCACCATAGTCCCACAGGACCATATGACTGCTTTTTCGTTATGCTGATGACATAAAGGTAGTGTTGAAGAAGCAGGGAGGCTGCAGAATAACTTGGTCAGGCTGGGAAAGTGTGAAAAGGAGTGGCAGATGATATACAGTATGGGAAACTGAGATTATGCATTTTGGTAGTAATGATAGAGGCATGGACTATTTTCTAAGTGGGGAAAGGCTTCAGAAATCTGAAGCACGAAGGGGCTTAGGACTCCCACTTCAGGATTGTCTTAAGGTTAACATGCAGGTTCAATTGGCAGTTGGGAAGCCAAATGCAATGTTAACTTTTAATTCAAGAGGGCTAGAACACAAGAGCAAGGATGTACTGCCCTGGCTGTATAAGGCTCTGGTTGAACCACATTTTGAATATTGTGAGCAGTTTTGGGCCCTGTATCTTGGAAAGGATGTGCTGGCATTGGAGGGGATCCAGATGAGGTTTACAAGAATGAACGCAAGAATGATGGGCTTGTCATTTGAGGAGAGGTTGAGGACTCTGGGTCCGAACTCGAAGTTTAGAAGGATGAGGGAGGGGTCTGATTCAAACTTGCAAAATACTGAGAATCCTAGATAGAGTGGGCATGGAGAAGATGTTTCCCACTGATAGGAGAGGCAAAGACCTGAGAACTGAGATGAGGAGGAATTTCTTCAGCAAGAGAGTAGTCAATCTGTGGAGCTCATTGCAGCAGAGGGCTGTGGAGGCAAAGTCATTGTGTGTATTTAAGACAGAGATGGATAGACTCTTGATTAGTAAGGAGATCAAGGGTTACAGGGAGAAGGCAGGAGAATGAGAAACTTATCAGCCATGATCGAATGGTGGAACAGACTCAGTGGGCCGAATGGCCTGATTTTGCCCCTATATCTTATGGTTTTATAGTCTTAAACTATCATCTACTGGTTAAATGCAATAAATTTGTAATAGGTGGTGAATCATGCTGAACAGGGAACTCACAGCTTGGATTACTGGAATGTATTACAAGCTGTTGTGATAGATTACTTAGCAAAATAATCTCAGGAGCTTCAAGGTATTGGATAGCAATCGTTTATTTAGCCAAAATTGAGAGAGTCCACCCAGAAAAGATTCTGATGTAGCACTCTAACTCAACAAGAATTTATCATATATTTATATATTGTTAGACACGAAGATAGTACATTACTTGAATTCCGAAATTAGACAAGCACTTTGATTTTGTCCCTATTCTGAAAGTAACAAAGCATTTGTTACTCCTGGTCTCACCACTTGCTATCCTCCCTGGTGATATCCTATCACCTCTCTGCTTCATTTCCATTGCTTTGTCTTTCTTGATGTGGTACGGGGTCATCCTCACATTCCATTTCCAAATAAGGCCTCAGGGTTAATGCTGGTTCAGCCATGTTGCATTTTCACAGAAACTGTCTGTCTGCTTCATCAGCATCTGAGCATGTTTGTGCAGTCTTAATAACTTTCTCTTTTAATCTGACTGTTTTCTTGAATAAGAATAAATGAAAAATGAATCTTAAATGATGTATATGATTATTGATTATGAAGTTAACTAAAACTCTCTACCTCATTGTAATCCCTGTTGAAACTTCATCTGGATTTACAGTTTAATTTATGTCATCCCAAACTTCCCCCTAACAAATCAAACCTTCAAAATAGGTGCAAGAGTAGGCCATTTCACCCTCAAGCCTGTTCCACCGTTCAATAAGATTATGGTGAATCTGATTGTGGCTTCACCTCCACATTTGTTACTATGATCCTGGATAGCCTTTGATTCCCTTTTTAATCAAATATCTATCTGCCTGTATTTTAGACATATTCATTGACCCTGTTTCCCTTGATCACCAGGGAAGAGAAATTCGCACGCCCACTACCTTCTGAGAGAGAAGCAAAATCTACTTATTTCTGTTTTAAATGGAAGACTGTTTATTGTGCCCCTTTGTTCTAGTCTGTCCTATAAGAGGAAAGATCTTTTTAGCATCCACCCTGTCAAGTCCCATCAGGACCTTATGTTTCAGTAAAATCATCTCTCATTCTTCCAAATTCCAATCAATACAGGCTCAGGGTGTCCAATCTTCCAGGCATCTCAGACAAGATATAGTGAGGGCAAAGATGCTGGGGTGGGTGGCCTTTGGTGACAAAAACATCAAAGGGATAATGAGGAGTGAGCCATTCAGTCCCCCTTGTCTGGTTAATTAGATCATGGATGATCTGCTCCTTCAAGGGCTATATTATCGCTTGATTTAAAAAAAATTTGCTAATCTCAGACCTAAAAGCTTGAATTGTCCAATGATCACCATCCTTTTGCTACGTTCCAAGAAGGACCAGGAGGCTGTAGTGTTAAACAAAAGGAGCTTTATTCTAGAGGTGTTCACTCTGCAAGCAGTGAACTTAGAGCCAATGATGCAGCATAACATGATCGGACTCTTAAAGTTACACAAATACACATCTCCCCCTTGACATCAGAGATTCCTGCAATAAACACATTTAAAATATTTACAATCACATACAGCAGGCAGTTGATAAGATGTTCCAGAGGACGTCGATTCCTTTGTTACTATGGACATACCTCTGGCGTCTGCTTATTTTTCTCATTGGCTTTAACCTCCGGTGTTTAGGTGTACTGGGAAGATCATCTGTTGTTGTCTTTTCCTGAGACAGTTAAATGTTCAAAGGTTCGCACAATATCATGGCATTCTTCACTAAGGTATTGTCTCCTTCAAATGCTCCAGTTACTATTCTGTCCTCAAATATATTCAGGTTCCTATTTGTGGATCTTCAGTTAATGCTATCAATGACACATTTGTTTTGGTTGTCAAGAATTGATCTGCATGTTTTCTCCACACTACATTATCCCTCAACTGCACAGTGTAGGAAATTGGTCCAGCCTATACTACAATGATGGTTAGTACCCAGTTCTCACCAGTGGTGTAACTCCTCACCAACACCTCTTGACCTTATCAGAAAGTGTGGTGTTTGGCCTCGTACTCTCATTGGAAATCCTGATTCTGTTGTTTCTTGTCAACCGTGCCTTTTGTTGTGGGTGGTTTCAGCAAATCAAATGCCATGCACAACTGATGTTTTACCACGAGCAATGCCAGAGAACTTTGAATCATTGAGTGGGTTGCGTTCCGGAAGGTTAATAAAAATCAGCTCAGTCACTTAGATAGTGATTCTTGTTTTTGAGTTATCCTTAAGGAATGTTTCATTGTCTGAACATCCCTTCTGTCAAACCATTTGTAGCTGGGTGATGAGGAGCTGATCGGATATATTGAATTCTGTTCTGCTTTAGATGGTTGTTAATCTTTTGTGATATAAACTATGGATCATTATCACAAACGAGTTGTTTCTTTAAACGTGTGATAGACCAGTCCCAGCATCCGATAAATGATTTACTTCAGCCTAGTTGAGTTTGATTTTCTGTTACCATGATTTCCTTTAGTAACATGTAAGGTCAAATCTTCAGACTAACTGTATAACTGACTGTTCACATTGAAACAACCCCTTAAAAGGCACCTCTTCACCTGTGTACATTCTTAGTACAATTTTTGAAGGTTGCAACTAAATGTGACTCAGCTGTGTCTGATACATACTTTCCGATAGCAATGAAACCTCCACTCCGGTGTCTACCTACCTACACTCTGGTGTCTACCTCCACTCTTACCAGTTTGCCATTCAGTAAGGGAGTGACCCAGTATCAGTTAGCATCACCAGCAATGGACAGTATGCTTACTAACTGCTTCTCTTCAGACTGAGAGACTGGGCCTTTCTCATGCCCTTTTCGTACCATGCAGACTTTTATGCTACTCTTCAGTTTCTGTTTTTTTGCTGTATTTTGTTCATGTTTCTTCCTCAAATACACCCATTTAAGTGTGCTCTTTATTTCCACAGTTTCTGCTTGGTTCATTATACCAGTAGTTTGTTGCTGCGTGACTTGTTTTTCCACACAAAAGGCAGTTTTGAGCCTGTGTTGGTGCTTGTCAAGCAGCCGCCATTTTGTGAACTCTCTTAGCAGCCATTTTGTGAACCCTCAGGGTCAAGCTTATCTGTCAAGCCTCCTTGGTGGCTAATTCCTTTGAGATTGTTTTTTCCAGTACTTTATTTAAGTCTAGAGTCCTTTCCATTGGTAATCTCTTCTAGCTTGCTTCACATCTCAAACCACACACCAGTCTTTGTCACAGATCACATCACTTAAGTTGTGTCTGAATTCACAACATTCTGCTAAATTCCTTAAAATTGCTATAAACCGGGAGACAAATTCACCACCATGTTGGTTGAGTTTGTGAGATAGGAACCATTCAGCAATCACCAGAGAAATGATTCTATACTGATAATCTTAAATTGCTTGTAAATGTAATTCTCAGCACAATCCGGATTGATCAGTAAGTGCTATCCAAATGCAGAATCACACCTAATGTTGGAAGTTAGGACCTGAATTTTTTGCTGACTTGGTGGCAGGTATACTGATTCTGATTTTCCCAAACTTTACAGTGTTTGGGAATGTTTTCTTTAAGGTGCCGGTCAATTCAAGATGTAAGCCCGGACCCTGTAATCGTGACATGATGAGGCCCATTTTAGACATAAAAAGTCATGCCTTTTGAAGAATTTTGGTCTAGAGTACTTCACAGGTCTTGTGAACTACAGTCTTAAGAGAACCTTTTGAAAGGTGAGCTCAAAATGTCCCCACGCACCCACACAATAGTTCTATAAGCCACCCACAAGCAAGTTGTGTATATGACCCAGTCCAGACCAGGTCAAGCTATGGTATTTCCAAG